TATCACACCTAAAATACAATGAGAAAAGGAAAAGTTATAGTAACAGTGGACAGGCAATTCCGTTGTGGAAGATTTTGGGTAGGAGTCCAGAGACCGAGTGTGTGCAGCATCCCTATTGCAGAGGGACTTCTTGATTGTTATGAATGACTTATTTTAAGAAGCAATTTTATATGAACGATATGTTGCCACACAAACAAATTGTGGCGTTTAAATTGAGTAAATCGCTTAATGTGATTTGAAGTAATTATGAACGGATAAGGTCGCATGGACGCCAATCGCATAAATAGGAAAAACGTCCCGCGCTCCCCATAAAGCTAGGGTGCTTAGTTTGCTGTGTGCTGTGGACTATCGTGTCACTTATCAGTCTATCTTTACAGTAAGCTCGAAATTTTATTCTGCCTGAATGTCCGGTGCTTACGTCTTCCATCGCTTTACTTACTCAGTTTGTATTATCGACTTCGTAATCAGATTATGCGGATTTATTCTGTTTCGCCTAATCTGCCCGAATACGTCTGCACTTGCTATCGATAAGTCGTCATAGCTCTGTTATCATGATGGAAAGAAGGAGAGGAAAACCGTGCGAATAACTACGGCGCGTACTAACACTCGGCCGGGTAGCCTTCCCTGACAACATTGACATCCCTTACGACTAACATATAGTATTAGTCTGTGACTGGTATCAGGAACTGGTTATGCCCCTTGCAGTTTGTGCTCGTTAGCCATTTAGATAACTAACCTCACACGAACATCTAGGCCTGGACTTCTATCTTAAGTTCAGTTTATTGGAGGAAATTAGCGTTTGCATTTATACTAGCATAGAGCTAGTCACATGCCATTAAAGTGTTACCAGGGCTGTGTATTTTTCGCCCCCCTGAATCTCTTTTCGAATTCCTGCCTCATTATTGTAAGGAGTGGAGTAAAACGTAAAACACAATTCGGAAACCTGTCAGTAACATGAAGATAGCCGTGTGTAGAATTCGCTGGACGCCAATAACGAATGGAGTCTTTGGCCGACTAGGTCACTACGGGACTGAAGCACGCCGTCAATTATCGCCGAGACTGCTATGCTAACCACTGACGTGTCAAAACACACCGTACTCGACATGTCGAGGTGGAAGTTTACCGATTGGATACTGACTTATCAGGGTGCCCTGAATGCCCATCTCGGTGTTTTGTCGTCACCTTTAAATAGGCAAAACTGACTTATTTGCTACAGACACTTTCATACTTCACGTGTGTTTTCGTCACTTTCCTGCATCGCAATATTCTCTTTGTTTCAGCTCCTCAAGTCCCTTCCGTTTTTCTAATTTTTGCCACTTTTCATTCGTTTTACACACCTTTTTCTCCATTTCACGTTTCTCGACCTTTTCCTACAGTTTATATGCCTGCGTTTTGTCCGCACTGGCTTACGTCTCTGTGGGTTGCCCGTCTGTTAACCGTCCCTTATCACCCCTTCCTGGTATACCCTCGAGCATTGTAGTGCCTGGCTTAGACTTCGTTTGATTCTAGCCGAAGGGCAGCAGTATGTTCGAGAGTCTCTGATTTCCAGATAAACCCCACGTAACCGGATTATGACGTTGAAGTTATCAAGGGAAACATATTGGCTGACAAGGGCTCAGCTGATAAAGTTGTGTTCGCGACGAACAGGGAAATTGGAAATATTTTGCATTCCCTCATTATCTACCTGGTGCATCAGCTCGGATTGTCTGATGATTGACCGATTATGTCAGGGGTATCCTAGAAAGCTCAAAACGAGTCAGCTGCAAAACTCTTAGTCGGACAGGATTGACGGTTCATGGGCCAGGAGAGCTCGTCATATTCTGGATATTACGGCGCCTTTTATGTTGAGAGTTTTAATTTCTTACGTATAGTATTGGAAATCTAGCGCATGTGTCTGCTGTCTTATTTATGTCCTCACCTTGCTACCCAACAGTTCTTTTTTCGTAAAGTTTATGTTTACCACTTATTCGTCATAATGAGTGATTTTTGCTGCTTAGAGCTAAAAATTTTTTCATTCTTGAGATTTCTTATGTTACCTGACTGTCATGACAAGTTAGTGCACGTTTAAACAGCAATGATCGCTCATCACTTTTACACCGTTTTGGAGCATTTTACTATAGTAGGGGATTTATGATCTTAATAGGAGACGCATCTGTTGGTCTGAGGATTGCGATCGTCAGCCGTTGTTCTGAGCCAGTTTGCTCTTCCAATGCAGCATACATAGTGGTTGCGGGTCAGCAAATTCTAATACTCAACCAGTCAAAAAACGGGAGAAGATGCCGTTATAAAATTTGTTTTCTGAAAAACACTGACGTACATCCACGAGTTCAGTTGAGAGTCGTCGGTCATCGAAGGAACTTGCATGGAGTAATAGTTGGGAGTTATTCTGTCGCTGAGAACCATTATCCTTTCGTTGGGCAAGGCCAGTACAATGGTTTCACAACCACGCTCATTTTCTGGCCTCCTGTAACTTTTTACATGGGCTACTCCGGCCTATTATCCTGTCCGAGTTGTATTGTGCACAATTATTTGACTGGAATTTATTATTTCGAACTGAGTACTGATTGTTTGTTTCCGTTTCCTAGGTGTCCCCATGATGGCTATAAGGCCGTATCAGAAACCCCTTCTGGCCTTTCTTCTAGGCTTCGGATTCTCGTCTCTTTTCATGTCAGTAAATTTCTCAACTCCTCCCCTCATACACACGCGTTGTAAGTTTGCTATTCGATTCTTTGCCACACCTTAGCATGTTGCGACATAGTTAACAAAAGTATGTTTCAATACTGTGCCGCTGGATGCAAATTAGTCGGCAGGGTTCTTCCTCTAACAGTCATGTTCTTTTTAATATTTGCCTTGACAACGCATTCTGTGAGGTATAAGAAGTGAAGGGGGTGAAGTTTTCACTTTCATTCGGTATCTTTTCGATGACGATACTTCGTAAGGTAGTGTGGTGATGTCATAATAAGTTTATCCGCTTGGGCACACACTCTTCGCAGTGCCTGTTAAAGCAACTGCTGTCAATCCACACCGAAGGACATCACAGAAGAAACCCCGGAAATACGCGGTCTGCTCATTAACCTGGCCGTGAGTCACCTGCGCGTCCACAGGTCACAAGGGCCTACTGAGAAGTAAGTAGACCATCGGATGCGCAGTATCAAAGGCTAGAATGCGATCTTTCTGATCCACTTGGCTAATTTTGACCTACCGAAATGCTGAAATAGACTGAGTATCCCAAATACTACTTGGTCAGCCGTCATCGCTGGCCCCAATGCATACGACCAGGAGAGGTAGACGGATGCTTCACGCCTGCGGATGACTGCGATGGCCTTCGATCCATAGCCCCCTAGTCTGCATCCCTTCGACTTCTACTCACGCAATTTGTCGGAAAAAAATGATTTGTTCTGTTGTGGCAGCAACCTCGCGTGGGCAATAGGTCGTCTGCCTAGTTTTCTCAATGGGAGAAGTTCGCTTAATGAGGTCGGGTAATGCTCTCTCTGGATCCCCATAAATTTCTGATCGGTTCTTCGTAGCTGGCATGAGGGTAGAATTTACAGTCAGACTAGGCTTACCCCGCCCATAATCGGCTATTCCTATGCGGCCCCGTTCAAATCAGCGGTAAACACTCAGATCCCCAGGTACACCCCCAAGGACCGCGGTACAACTGCGCTTCCTAAACTCCATTATCCGATTGATGAGTCACTGGACCTTCCTGCATAGCCACAGAAAACTACATTTAGACACTAGGGGGGGGGGAGAGGACATTCGATTTCTCCCGGTTTATCCTGCCCTTAATTTGTCACACATTGGTTATCGCAGGCTTACGGAAGGGACACTTCTTTTAGGCATTCTGAACTACTGTCTCAACTTCGCTCTGTTCGTATCTTCATTATTTATTTCTTTTTGAACCACCTTAACAATTTTTGTGCGCTTGTGTAAATTACACCTTTTATGGTTTGTCTAGAGCTCACACTTAACGATCACTTGTGTGTGGATGCTGAAAAAGGCGTAAAAGGTGTTTATTTCGGTACATTTATGTCTTATGGCAGTCATACAGCAAACACAAGTCAGAAGGACTCAAACTAAAATCCTAGTATGTGGCTTTAAAAAAAACGGCAGCTCAAAGCGTCATTAACGGTAATCTACGGGTCCCTTCGGTACTAAAAGTGACTGAGTCCCCCAAAATGTGTCATCAGCAGACCGTAGTTACAACTTTGCCAGTGTGTCTAGTCGCTGCCAAATCGCTTCAGCATTTAGGTCGGACAACGCCGGCCCCGTCAGTGCTACGACAACGTCTACCACCTCCGGAAACGCCTCCATCGTCATCCCTGCCGCAACCTCCATGACGCTTGCGTCGGCGAACATCAATGGTAAGCCCCTCCGCCGCACACCACCACCACCATCACTGTCACAATTACGCACCAACAGCGACGGCGACTACCACCGCTCCCATCCCCATCAATCCCACCGCCAGTGCTGACTCAATACCAACCTGTCCCCATTGCGATTGCATCTTCACATCGCGCATCCTCCTCGTCCGTCACTGAGACTGACGAATTAGTGCCGGGAGTACCAAAATATACCCCTCAACCCGCCTCATTTGCAAACTCTGCCTGCGGCTATTAAGTCTCCTCATGGGTCCGCCCAAACATGCGTCCCTTCAGGAAGATCTGCGGTAAAATACCGCAGTCCAAACCCCATCGCACATTTCCCCACTACCTCATACACCAAACACACACACATACACAAACACCTAAATCCGCCCTATCTCACCCACTACAGGCGCAGAATAGGCACCTCTCATGTGAGTAAGTAGCGCGTTCTTTGGGCGTAACCGGACGCCTAGCACGTGCAGGCCAGCTGTTGCAGCTCTAGGCGGAATGTTACCGATAAGGACAATGGAGACTGGGACGATCATTTGTGGCTTATTAGTCGTCAGCCAGTCACACCCAACCCCTAAGTGCGGAACACCTCAGGCTCGATTCCGCGATCTGTCAGTTAGAAGTCCAACGCCTGTAACCACTGAGCCACGGACTCGTTGTCCTGTCGGTTTCGGTCGGGAATGTGCAATGGTAGAGGGGCGCTCACCGATCGCTCTTACGAAACTCACTCGTCCAGAAAATGGACATTCCAGTCTCCCTTGTCCTTGTTGGTAATAACATTCTGCCAATAGCATGTGTCGCTGTGCGGTTGCTGGTCGGACCCGAGAGAGAAAGTCCGTAAGGAACAACGAGACGAGTGAATTCCGTAAGAACGATCGGTGCACGTCCCCCCTCCCTCTACCATTGTTGCAGCTCTGTCCGCCACTGCACCGAATCCCAGCTTTTAGAGAGTAAGACCGACTCTGGGGACTCCATCCCCACGGCACATCGGCGCATTCCT